TCTTTAACAATCTGATCTTATAAAATTAAATCAAAATTACTGATTAATTCTATTCGTAGTATCTATGAACTGTTGCCATTAATGATTCACTATTGGTAAACACGAGATGTATGTTGTCATTTCTGGCATGACTATCGTATACAAACGTTGATTTAGTAGACTCAAATAGATATTCGGAAGCCCATATAATCATTCAATTTATGAAAAAATGCAATAAACATATGACATATGTTTTTATAAAATATATGATGAAATAAACTTCTATTTAGGTTTCACTCCTTTATCTATTTCCTAGAAATATATGCAGTCTACTAATAACAAACAAATGGGGATAATATATTTAGCTCATATTCGAGAACGTGGAAGAAAATTCTCGAAAAACTCAAATCTGAAAATAAAGGAAGGAGAAGTCGAAGGAGAAGTTTTCGTTACGTTAGCGCCTGTCCAAACACCATTGTCCCTATTCCTCTACAACCAGCGGATTATATCGTCACCAACGAAGTTGAGAAACTACGGTCGACGAAATAAATATTACACGAACAATTTGAAAGACCTGGAAAGTCGACGAATCGCCGTTCGCAAACTCTGCGAATCTCTGGCATTCTAGGAGGCGGGAGAAGAAAGGTTGCAATTACTTTGTCGTCGTTAAAGCTTGTCCGCGGGACGCTTAAACGCGTGTTCGTGCCCCCCCGACTTCTCGGTCCCCCTTAATGCGACGGTCCGGCCGAGAAAATAAATTAACAAAACCGCGGTCACGTACTTTCCAGTGGTTATCGTCACGGGTGTACCCGCACACGCGTGCACACGTCCCGATTGCATCGAAATTTATCTCCGGGCTGGCGTGATTAATACCGACCTGCTCCCCCCTGGCCGCCATACATCACTCGTAATGATGTAATAACCGGTCTCCGCGACTCTTGGGTACCACTTCTTATCCCCCTCCCGTATCTTTGTTCTTAATAACACCGAAAAGAAACCGGCCCCCGATGGCCGCCGCGTGATGGATGAAAGCTCTGCGGCTATCGGCCGGTTCAATCGTATTAAATAAACATCGGCGTTACGCGGAGCGGTTCGAAAGTTAACGATCCACGGATTTGCATACCCGATGCAAATGATCGATCCCTACCTCTGGCGGGCAACGGTCACGTGGCACGTTAACGATGCCATTGAAATACAATGCTTCGAGTACTGGGGAACGAGATAAGCAGTTTTATGGACCACCCTATGATTAGGGGGTGGTGCGCTCTAAAGGGGTTACAGAGAATAAGTGTTTCACCCTTAATGGTTGAATTTCTGTTGGAGTTCGGGAATCAACCCCAACACCGTTCATGTTTATTTAGCTCGAGATACCCATCCATTCGAGCGGCCGGTGTTTCGACCCTTGCAAGGCGACGAACCAGGACACCTGCTCGTTCGTGGTGGAAAACATTGTTATTGCAATTTTCATGCACCGTTGTGACTTTTTACTCGCGGAACGAAACTATAATTAGACGATATCTAGAGTACCAACAACTGGTGAGGTCGATTCTAAGTTCTGGGTCCATTTTGATCCACGTTTGTGTGACCGTTTTAAGGAATATTCAGTTATGCATCGGTTTGAAATTATATATTTGATTTGCTATTTACCCATTAAAATTATTTATGTAATAAACTTTAAGCTTGAAATAATTACATTAAGTCGTATGTTCGTGTCAAGTTTTGCACTACAACTTAAAGCAATATTTCAAACGTGTCATGGAATTTAGCAAAATCATTATATCGTCGCTAGAAAACTTCTCTGATTTTATATTAAAAGTAGTTCAACGCTGTTCCTTAAAACATTGACATTTTCAAATTGTTTACTCACTAATTAGCCTGAAGATTCTTGTATACGCTCCATTTTTTATCTCCAGTTATTAAGTGCTTTAGGGAAGCTTTTGTTCCATTATATGCTAACAAAATTAAAATAAATATAATAACAAGATTTCGTCAGAGTGGATCCCACAGTTCGAGCTTTGACACAATGTCTATTTGTTTCAAATTTCTGAAATCCTCTGAGCTAACAAATTTTTCTTGCTCCCTAAAATAACAAATTTTATCGTGAATTTGAGAATACTAATTGAGAAATAGATGCACGAGACAAAATAGTTGGCCTTTAAATCAACATAACAGCTAGACAAGAAATGTTTCTTGAGGATCGAGAAGATTAGTTTCGTATATTAATTAGCCAACCTACAAAAGGACAAGAACTATAGCTTCGTTAGGATGTCCAGTGACACAGTGACACTGGTGTGTGCCATAGGGGGATTCGCTATTGTAGTGAGGATTTGCTCATGTTTCGGATCATTGCTCACCAATAGTAAGAGTTGTTTGTCTTCCGGTCCATTGCCCACCAATCGAATTACTTTTTAATTGGTCATCTGAGTTGACCTTCCCTCGTCCCAGTTTTTCAACAGGGATACAGGCCACCAGTCGAACCCAATCTGGAACTACCTCGTCTGAGTTTTTTAATTGCTCAGCTGACCGATTAAAAAGTAATTTGATTGGTTGTCAATGAGCCGGAACACGAACAACTCCTACTATTGACGAGCAACGAACCGGAACGCGAGCAATTTTCACTATAATTATGAGTCTTTCGCTATTATACACCAGTATCAGTGTATGTCACTTGACCTCTAATAAACCTAGTTATGTGATGCTTGCAAAATTGGAATTCTTCCATAATTCGACGCTAGAACGTAAAAATCTTAAATTTTCGAATCGAGCACGTTTTATTGATCGATTTTGACAAATTTATTAATCATGTGTTTTACTTATTTATTAATTTGATGAAATATTTAATGAATCATAGCGTTTCATTATTAACACGTTGACGAACTTTGAAATTTGCAATAGGCTTCAAAATCGTTCACAATGAAGGAACCAATTTCTGTAAAATATTAAATAACACTTCTGTTATTAGTAATTCTGCAAAGTTTAATTTGAAATAATGTTTAATGAATCGTGGCACGTTATTAACAGGTTAACGAACTTTGAAATTTGCAATGTGTTTCAAAATGTACTATGATTTTCCACCCATCCTGTACATCGGAATGTGTTCATTTTAGCCTTCATTTCTTTTATTTCTTATTCTTGGCTGTTCTACGAGCCAATAAAAATTTATGAAAAGGGAGTATACGTGCATGTTCTTTGTCAGTGGGACACGCACGAAGACATGAAAGCGTAGAAGAAGTGAATGCAATGAAATTGGCGTTGCTTCCATTTTGGAAGCATTAGTGATCTTGAATAGCGATAAGATGAAAGGTACAAGATGAACATAATGCGAAGAAAATTGAAATTTAGTTATAATGAAAAATATCACGACCTTTGAAGCGACTCAATATTCCCGACTGACTAGTGCTCCTTCTAACAAAAGAATAAAACACATTACTTTTTATTATGAAAAGTTGGTAAAATAGAAAGGAGGGAAAATTTTCTATTACTAGATTCTACGACATGAACAGTTTCTCAATGTATCTTAAATGATTGATGAATACGTATTTTAATTGCACTGATAAAAATTTAATTTATTTGAATACGTTGGAGAACAAATAAACTGGGTCGTTTCTATAACAGAAGTTCACTAATTATTGATTTTCTTCTCGGGTCTGCAGGAAAGAAATTATATTGTAACCAATTAATTAGATTGGCTAGGCAACTTTTCAATTCTATACAACTTCAGTCATGTGTCAGTGTTATTGGCTTTCTTCTAAAAAATTCTATACCAGTTCAGAATGATTCTATCCTTTACGGTTAAAAATTTATATATAAAGTAACAAAATAACCATTCCATTTACAATATATTCTGTAGAGTACAATAACCTGAAGAATTTTAATATTCACAGCTCCATCTCGTACCGTTATAAATAGATATTAGAAAAATGAATAGATCTCGAAAATTAAGGACTGATTTCACTCTTTTAGTGAATTACAGCAAGAAACTATATTTGCATATTGTCTCGCTAAAATCAGAATTTTCGTACTTAGAATGCAAGAGAAATATAGTGATTTCACGTGATCGATATTCGATCAACATCGTTGGGCCCTATTAGTTCTGACTACAGCACTGACAGTTTGCGCATGCGCGCGTGCGATACGTGCACTTCGCTGAGTCCAATATGGCCGCGCTACGTGTGCACGTCTTTCATCTGTTCTGAACTTTATTACCTATTTAATATACATATCGTTTAATAGTTTTCTGTTTACAAGTGTGTATCAATAATCAACCCGATCCAACCTCGTTCCTTGCTAAAAACCTGACAGAATGTTCCTTTGTAAGTAAAATTTTGTTCCAATAAATGAAGTCTTACCATAATCGTGTATTCTTCGGTTAAAGAATGATTTTTAAGTTTATGTTTCTACCTATTTCCTCGAATCGAAGTAGTCGTACGTGACTATAGTTTTAATAGCAGAAATTATTTCTACGTTTCGTGCATGAGTCCACTTAGTTCTCTTCGTTCATGCGGCGTTAGTTAAAAACGCCGTAATTGATCTGTTTTTGTCGATGCGTTCTACTCCCAGTTAAACTCGTGGATCGACGAACCGTCCCTTCGCGTGAAATTACCGCGACCATTTTCCCGTGTTGCATTTAATACCGCATCGGTTGTTGATGAACGAGTCGCGCGCACACGCGCCCCTAATTGAAGCAGCCGTTTAAAAGCTGTGTTCTAGGCCGCACTGCCTTCAGATCGCTGGAATCGATTTTCGATTCTTGTTCATTCGTGATTCTGATGCCGCTTCCCCTCGGGAATGAGTCATTTCGCAAGTATTAAATTCATTAGTAATTCGTACAATTAATTTATTTGGTAATTGTCAGACCGCCCGTGTACCGTTCCGACCGGTTCTTTGCATTATCGAGTAATTAATTTAAATAATTAATTTAACCGTCGAATATTATGATGGCTCTGATTTTTAATGGAATTCAATGTACAATTAATCATTCCGTCTGGAGTAACCATTTGTTAATTTTGAACGTGCGATACTGCCAACAAAGCGCTTCAATTTTGCGATAATTACTCCCGAGACGGTGCTCAAGCACATCGAAAGATCCTTGAGATCAATCGGGATTTTCTGGTCCCTCGGGACGTCTGGATCATCTGTATCGAGTCCAATAAGTCCACCGGTGCTCCCAGATCCCATGAGCGCTGGTTCTTTCGTGTTGGATTTCATGGATTGGAAATGTTCTCCATCGAATTCTGCGAGTTCAACGTAATCTATATTGAATTTTGCGGATTCGTGATCGTCTATTTCATAATCCGATTCTATAACTTCAAACGCGTCCCGGATTATCTATATTAGATACCAAGTCAGAATTGGTTACGTTAAAACTAACAATTCTATAAATGTTTACATCGCGTCTAAAAAATTCAGAATCGTTCATACTATGTTGAAAAAGTCTAAAATTCTTCGTATAGCATCTGAAGAGTTCATCGCCATATGTAGCATTTCTGAAGAGATTATAGTTATACTTGCCCAGTTTGATTCAAAAAACTTTATACTATTTAGGAAGAATGGGAAGTTATTCGTTTACAATTTAAAAGGTACAGAATTACTTTTCCTATCTTTGAAGAATTCAAAGTTATTTGTAATTTATTTAAAAACTTCAGATTTGTTTTAATCGCGTTTGAAGAGTAGGTGGCGATAACTCACGTACTCGTCGCCAGAGGGACCGCTCTCTCGCAAGTGGTCGGCCGACCTTTCTATACAGGGTGTTCGGCCACCTCTGAGAAAAATTTTAATGGGAGATTCTAGAGGCCAAAATAAAACGAAAATCAAGAATATCAATTTCTTGGCTGAGGCTTCGTTAAAAAGTTATTAACAAATTAAATTACAAAAATTTCAAATCATTCTGAGAAAATTATTTTCGATTGTGAGGGTCAATTTAAATCATTTTTGGTCATTAGACATATCCTCGAAATTCTACCCACTTTCGAGAAAAGAATTCGAGGTGTGAAATTTTTCGACAAAATTAAAATATTTCAAATCGTTCTGGAAAAATTATTTTCGGTTGCGATGGTCAACTATAATAATTTTTGGTGAATAGACCTACCACCGAACTCCTACCCACTTTCTAGAAACAAGTTCAGTACGCGCGGAACTTTAAACGTTAACAACTTTTTAACGAAGCCACAATCAACAAATTAGTATTCTTGATTTTCGTCTTATTTTGGTCTCTAGAATCTCCCATTAAAATTTTTCTCAGGGGTAGTCGAACACCCTGTATAGAAGTTCCCCGACTGGCCATCCAATATCCCAGCATTTAAGGCTAGCTTGTTAGGTTTACCTCACTCATGAGTTTAGGGTGGCCAAAATTGCATAGCTCCTAGAAGTTCTAAAAAAAGTCATTTAAGGTTGGATTCTTAGACTCAACTACTATTTAATAAAAGATAATCAAAAATGGACTGAAAAAATATTTTCGTATAGTTTAATGCTATCTCTTCGTGTTTCTAAAAATCTAGTACAACAGAAGTTTTCATTCTTTACGAAAAAAATTATATTGAAGTCGATTGTAGATCGAAAGCGCCACCTTGATTGATTAGTACGTCTTGCGACACGTGAGAGAGCAGATGTATCGAAATACAGTTTTCTTATAAAAAGGTTATTTCGAGCAAACTATTTCTTACCCTGTTCAACTCTTGCCACGTACCTCACCCACAAATTAAAAAGAAAACTTTAATTTTAAGGCTGTTACACGAGAATCCCCCCTTAATACCTTGTATCTGGTACGTTCAAATTCACTCTTACTCTGTCTGAATAATCCAAAATCGCACAAATTCTGAAGTCCGGCGTGTCTTAGATCGTATAAATAGGATCTAACGTGATTCGTTCTTTCAACGTGAATGGTTCTTTTTAAATAATCTAAATTCAAGACATCCACAATAGCTACTGATCAGAATTCGTCTGCATTTTAGTCGTAAGTCTTTTTCAGTGTCTTGTTCTGTCTTCGACGTTCGTCTGACGCGAACAAAATTTCGTACCCACACACGTTTGCAAGTTCTCGCAAACGTACACAGACAGGCGAACAACGTGATTGCAGTTTAATTTTCTGTCTATCCAAACACTATTCCTCCAGATTGATTTGTCGTTACTGCGGCAACTGTACACGAGGTGCTTGAAACAGCAACAAATTGCCATTTCTGCGTCAGTGGTTTCGATCTCCAGCGTATTCCGATCAGCCGTTCCGTTAATCCCTTCGTCGATATTGTGTACATACACACAGAGTCGATGTTCTAACTAGTCGATAATGGCTCCTGAATTTCTTACACGCACGAGCGCGCCAGGCACGAGTGCAAAGACAAGTGCCGATCGATACGAACGCCTACACAGGTAGTGATTGTGCTCGAGACTCCCAACTCGAGAATTCTCGAGAGTTTTAAACAAAATTTCCCTTCCCTTCGTCCAGAAAATAATTTTCACATATTTCGAAATTCCCCGAGAACATTTATCCCGGTCTCGAGAATTTTAAAAAACTATGACTGCATACGTACGTTAATACAAGCGTTCGTGTCAAAGAAACAAACCATTTATAGTCGACGATCGTTAACTAAGGAAATAAATATTTATAAGGTAGAACAACTTTAAATTTACCTATATCGAACAATGCGTTAACACGTTGATTGCCAGACCGAAACTGCACAATTTTTTAGAAGATCAAAGCTTTGATTTTAAACAATTGTAAACTACATGAATTAAAATTTGTTTTAGTACTTATTTTCGACTTTGTATTAAAATTCATGAATCCTATTCAAAATTTCTTTAACATTTCAGCATGAGAATTAATTGTCTTATCATTCATATACACATTAATTTATACAACATCGATGTCAATATAAAACGAATTAAAGTTTGCATTTTAGCGCAGAATAAGCTTAAGCGAAAGACAGAAATACAGAAATCAATCACGAATAATACAATTTACGTAAATACACTTTATTTATAATTAAAAAGTGTTTGATTCTCCTTTAACTTTATAAATCGACTCTTGGGAAACTCCAGTGCGTCTGTGGAGAGTTAAATAATAATGCTTGTTTATATTTCAACAATAACAATTCTAAAACACAATCAACATTCTTCAGTATAATTTAGCTGAGTACTTGGAACAATTATAGTTCAGAAACTTTCGTTCCTGGATACGATTCATTTAACGTTCGAATCCCATAGTGGAGCTTAATTAGAAATGAAACAAACTACATTGAACTTACACTGAAATTCAATAATGTAAAAATATAATAACACAATAATGACCAAGAAAATAAGGAACGAAGAAGAATAAAAAAAAGAAAGAACTACAAAAAAATATAATATAGAAACTTCCAGAGAACAACATTATTTTATTCCAGAAACTCTCAATTCCCAAGTTCAAACGGGATTCCTGAAATCAATGAAATAAAAATTGAAAATTTGCAAATTCCCAAATTTCAACAAAACAAAATCACTATATAGGGTGTTCGACCAACCCTGGGGAAAATTGTAATGGGAGATTCTAGAGGCCAAAATAGGACGAAAATCAAGAATACTAATTTGTTGATGGAGGCTTTGTTAAAAAGTTATTAACGTTTAAAGTTCCGCCCGTACTGAATTTTTTTTTAGAAAGTGGGTAGGATTTCGGGGGTAGGTCTATTCACCAAAAATTATTGTAATTGATCCCTGCAACCGAAAATAATTTTTCCGGGACGATTTGAAATTTTTTAATTTTGTTGAAGAATTTGTCAACTTTCCTGAATTTTTTTTTCGAAAGTGCGAAAGATTTCGGAGGTATGTCTATTGACCAAAAATGATAGTAATCAACCCCTGTAACTAAATATAATTTTTTTGGAACGATTTGAAATTTTTCAATTTCGCCGAAAAAGTCCACCTTCCTAAATTTTATTCTCAAAAATGGGTAGGATTTCGGGGGTATGTCAATTGACCAAAACTAATTGTAATTGACCCCTGCAACCGAAAATAATTTTTCCAGAACGATTTGAAATTTTTTTTTTCGCCGACAAATTTCAGGGAAACATGCCAACGTATGGTCAGACATTACATTTTCGGTAACGAATTTTTTTCTCGAAAGTGGGTAGGATTTCGGTGGTATGTCTATTGACCAAAAATGATTATAATCGACCCCCGCAATCAAAAATAATTTTTCCACAATGATTTGGAATTTTTTAATTTCATTTTTTAATAACTTTTTAATGAAGCCCCAGTCAAGAAATTGATATTCATGATTTTCGTCTTATTTTGGCCTCTAGAATCTCCCATTAAAATTTTTCCCAGGGTTGACCTAACACCCTGCATAGAAGGTGACCACATGGACGAGTCATGTAACGTTGTGTGAGTATGGTATTTAATCATTCACCACTACACCTATATCCAGCGATTGACACGATACCGTGTTGCCATTTACGTCATCACGCGATTACTGAACAGCGTACCACGACTCGAGCTATGATTTGTTTCCAAAAATTGCAACGTTACGCGCCATGGAAAAATAAAACTTCAAATTTTTGCTCTGATTCGATAATACATCCCAGAGAACCCGTTCACTTCCGGTTTCGATGGAGCCTCGCGCGATTCGTGAACAACGGACGATCGATCCTCCCCCCGTCCTTTCCAACACGAAGATTGTATACTTTGCGTTCATGGCGATGAAGGATCTGTCGGTCGCGTGGTGAAGCGTCTTAATCGATGAGTATCGTGATGGTTCCCAATTATCTTGTTCTTGCTATGGTAATCGATCCCTCGATACTAAATCGTGCGCTACGCAGAGCTTTTCGTACCTCTTTTCGTCCTGATATTGATCGGTTGAACGTTGATTACCAAACAGGTACAGAAACGTTTGTATACTTTTGACTTTTTTTTTATCGACGATGATTGATGGTTAATTTAGAAGCCCCTATACTGTTTAGTCAGGGTGTTAATGTTACTACGAGAGGAATATTTATAGTTCTTTTATACACATTTTTATACATATTTGTTTTTATTTAGTGAATAAATTCGTTAAATAAAATGAAATTGATATCAATGAAAAGGGTTAGTTTCTCTTTTATGGTCGAGAAATAGTCGTAACGAAATACGGCATAATTACATCAATGAAAGCGTTAATTTGGAAAATTTCATCAAAATTGACATCTTTGAAGTTTGCAGTGTGCCCTGGTTAAACCATTGAAATTAATTAATGGAGCAATTCAATTATTACTATTGCTATTACTAAACATATTAACTGTCCATATTTGGGCGTGTTTGCATAAATGATAAATTGTAAATTATAACCGGAAATATAATATTTACGAAAGAGATGCTGTGCAACTAAAAATGCTACTGCAACACCAATCTCAGATACGTTCATTAAATTGAAAGCATAAGAATTCAAGAATAATGCCGAACAATAGACGAAATAAGAAAAATAACAGTGAAATGGAAATAAGATCTAACAAACCATCTGTCTATGTTTTGTAACATAG